TCTGAGATGGGGGGTCTGAGATGGGGGGTCTGAAATGGGGGGCCTGACATGGGGAGAACGTTCCAAACCCTGATCGATATTTCCCCGCATAAGCCTCCATTGCAAGCTACTTCCAGTCCGATACCGAGAATACGAATATGGTTTATTCTGCCATTGGCATGGAGTTTCCGACAGGAGTCGAATATTATAGTTCAGGGCCGGGTTGTTCGAAAGCCGGTTAACGCTAACCCAAGATTAAAAGTTAACCAAAGTATCAATTTTTCTTGTATAAAAATGTTTTTCATTGCTTATGTATTGTGCAGTTTAAGATTATTAAAACTCAAAACTGAAAGACAAATAATATAAACAGAAAACCTCACCGAAAAGTTACAAAATTGAAATCAAAATTCTCACTAATCCTGGGTTAGCTTAATCGGGCTTTGAACAACCCGGCCCAATTCAATATGAAAATTATTTACTTCATTAAGTTGGGATCTTTTATCTCTAGAGACTTCGTCCATAGTGCGACCAGTTGGTGAGTTTACATTGTTGCCAATGATTCTTCCTCAAAACAAAAGAAACAAAACTACTGCGAGCTAACCAAAGATCTGTTCCGGCTACATGTCAAGAACGTTGCGTGACTGTGAGAGGGCCAGATAACATAACGTGACAGAGAGAAGAGCGGATAGTTTGGCGGCACAGAGAGCGCTAGAAAAGGACTCAACGGTTCTTCACGGTATAATGGAGAATAACGGGTAGCAGCTAATCCGTAGATCATTCAATTCATCTCTGAAGCACTGAATATGTTTAAAGTTCGATTATATTTTTTAATTTAAGTTTCGCTATTATTTCCCCAAATATACAGAAAAAATAGTCCAGATAGCATTGTTCATTTTCCAGAAAACAGAAGAAAAAAGCTGTCAAAATTCAGTTTTCGATCTTCTCGCCTCCTTCCCTAGTCCTGTAGCGGTTTTATCAACAGGTCTTTTAGTTTCTGAAGTACAAAATTAGATGGAGGTTTTTGGTCAAAGTTTTCCATTTATATCCGATAGCTCCAGTTATTGCTTCGCTTATTCTTTCTTGTGTTTCGCCAATCACAGAGGCCCTTGAAAGTGTTCGTGACAATGCTTAAACGTCACGTGAACAAGAACTAGAATAGCCTCGTGCCCAGACTCTCCTTTAACTTTCACGGCTAAACCAGTGCGCCGGCTGCAAAGCAAGAAGAAGCCACTTTCAACGCAATAAATCAATAAGGTTTGGTAAAATTGGGAAATAATCCTCAAACTTTTATTTTTCAGTGTTTTTTTTAGAAAATAGAAGATGGAGTTGGCAAAATTCCTTCTTCATTTTCTTCGAAAATAAATTGTTTCGTTTTGTTAAGTTTGATTCAAACATGATGAATCATAAAATCGAATTTATTTGGAATTAGTTTTTCGGAAACATAAAAGACACAAGATCTAAGGGGACATAACAGGACAACATCAGATGTTTTAGATGATATCATGGGGCGATCCTCGCGACTCAACGTTTTTACACTTCGTCCCGTTAGCACACAACTTGTGTAGAGAAGGAGCTATGACCCCCTATGCTAGGTATGAATTGAATCCAAACAGTTAAATAAGATAGTAAAACTTAACTCAGTACATCGTGAAACATTTCTGCATATTCCTGCATTCCCTCTGATATGAAGAATTGGTATTATTTATTGAATTATATATCACCTTGTACACTAAAAAACATTACAGCATGAAAGTACTACTTTTAGCATTTGAGTGGTCACAAGGTTGGGTTCTATCCACAGGCTTAAAAGCTGAAGCTCACTTGTACAACATAATAAACAGTACTATCTAAAAGAACTGCACAATACTTTCACTCGAATGGTCATGCTCTAGGGTTTCATCCAGACTTAAAAAGTTAAAAACTACCTTTAGTTTTAAGTCATGATAAACAGTGCCACGTGAAAGTACTGCTCAGTAGCTTTCATTTGAATGGTCACACCCTAGGGTTTTATTCACAGACTTAAAAGTTAGAACCACCTTGTACAGCATCATTGTACATAGCACTACATATAAGCACTTCTCAGACCACAATGGTCACATAAAATATAGGGCTTTCATCCATCATAGACTACAAAAATGATTTTTTAAAAAAGATAACTGGGCACAGCGTAGCGATAATTATCACGTGAAAGCAAGAAATATATGTTAGAAGTTTTCACTGATTAAACTCGCTTGATTACAGAGACAGGGATTGCCTTAGTTTCGGGCGTTGCCTTGTAAAACACAGGAGACACACGTTCCTGCTTAAAGCCAAACGGCAATGCATACGACGTCATCGGATCGACTGTAATTGGGAACATAATCCTCGTCTTAGAGCAATCAGAGCTTGATGGAGTGTGAATCACGGGGCCTGGACACCACAACATCGGACGCGAAGGCGTAGGCAAGAGCGGCCAGGTCCAGCTCTTCCTGAGAGGGGTACTGACGGGGGTAAATGCAGACGGCAACCCACCAGTGTCTCTCTGGGGAGGCGTAGTCTCGACTCGTTTTTGCTGCTGGAGGCATGCCTTAATCCTGTGTCCGTGATACAGGGATCTGGTGACGCCAGGTTCGTACTTGTAGGGTAACTTGTTAAACTTGTACACCAGCCGCTGGCCAGGGACCTGGAAAAGAGGCAAGAAACAAAAATCCGAGTTGCCAAGTGGTTTAAAGCAGCACCAGCATTGCAGGATCTTATGTGTTAAACAGTTAAGTCTATTAGTTTGATAATTAACCTGCTAAGCTCAGAACTCAGTTTCAAATACTCATTTCTTTTACGATGGAAAAACTTTGGAAATGCCAAATGACGCAGTTTGATTGAAGGCACGCGCTTCCACGCCTTTGAAAAGAAACTTAAAACACATTAAGGTCTGTTAAGTCTGGTCTCCACCTAAGCTCATATGCAGATTTAGAAAGATTCCGCCAAGTAGCTCCTTCTGTTAGGAAATGTGTTACTGCACCTCTGCGTATGTCGCAAGTGAAAAACAGCCCTTATATAAACATTACAGTTTTTTCTCGTGTAACGTGAGACCGTGTTAGACCACATTTTCAAACACTGAAAAGAGAGCTGAAAATACGACGCGCAGCGGAGTATTTTTGACGAACTTCCTGCAGGTGTTTGGAAATGCGATGGAACACTGTCTTGAGTGTTTCATCGCAAAACTAAGCAAAAAATTTCATTCATCAAAACTAAGCAAAAACTTTATAAAATGGTGAGAATCAATCCCAACGAAAATCAGATATTCAAACACCATATGCCAAGGTTATGATTTCCTTTCCTAGACTATCTTGAATAAACAAACGCATGTACCGTGTGGCACTAAATTTTTGCGGGAGTTTATTTTGCGAATCGGCGATATTTTGTATTTTGCGGGAACTGAATTTTGCGATTTTCGCGAAGTCGCGTTTAATTGAGGTTACAACAATTTCGCGTTTTTTTAATTAAACTGCATGCAATTGACTAATGAAACAACATTAAGAGAAGTAAAACACAGTAATGCAGTAATCAGTGTTACTCCATCACATTACATTGTGCTGTTGTGTGGTATTGTAGATGCTCTTCTCAATGGAGTACCTTTAGACGATCGTATCCTGTTAACCTTTTTGTTTTATTTCTGAACGTTTTGTTTCTCATTTCATCGTTTTGTTTCTGAACGAAATTTGAAAGAGACGATTTAAATAAAGGGCAGCAACAAGATTCTACTTGTGATGTCTGTATGTGTAATTTCGCAAGTGGAGGAAATTTTTGCGGGAATCTTTTTTGGCTGTAACTTTTTTTTTAGCGAATCGTGGAAAAAACCGCAAAAGTCGCAATAATTAGAACCCGCAAGAATTTAGTGTCACACGGTATGTGACAGCTATGAAATTCTGTGCCACTTGCAGTGGAAGTTTACGTTGATTAAGCTCTTGATTACAAAATCCCTAGTTTAATCGCATAAATAAAGTCAGTTTCCTTCTGACTAGATTATATAGATCTGATTTTCCATAACTCTTCCAGATTTCTTCCACGCATGCCGTTTTCTGATTGGTTACGCTACTACTATCTATTCTGTTGTTGATAATGAATGGCGTAACGTTGTGCGGTTGTTATCAACATGGCGGCCGCCTCTTTGCGTTCTCGAAGTGTCTGTGAAGAGGATTTAGATAAAATGTTGAACAACTAGTAGGTTTATACTCGTAGGTCCCATCTCCCGCCTCGTCAGCGTTACATGGTTTGCAGGGGACGTTAAAGAACCCACACACTTATCCCACTATGGTACTTGGTGCTTCACATAAGGTCAACTTCATTGCGCCTTACCCCCTTGGACAGAATTGTCCAAGAAAAATTGCTATTTCATGCTATACTAAAACAACTAGATTATTCGCTCTTGATTTCTATGCGTGACAGTTGACTCGGGTTGCGCCCTCGTCATATCACGCGATAGAAATCTCGAGCTCCTAATCCAATTGCTTCTCAGTGACAACTTGTACTTTAGCTTTCAACAACAGGGTACCTATATACAGAGTCACTTCGAGCGTAATCCCCTTTGGAATTTTCCTGTCTTTGGGTATCCTGTTATTATATTTTTAGGGAGAGTTTTCGAAAGCTCTCCATTGATTTTCCTTAGCCGCTACAGATAAACGCCTTTTCGTTCTTAAACTGAAATAATCGTGATGGCAACTTTTGTCTGTCTTGAAGTCAGACGTACAAGTGTATTGTCACATAAGTAAAACACAAGTCGAACAGACAAGCATATTGTCGCCTTAGTAAAATAATATAGTTGAGTAGAAATACCCGCAAAAGCAGTGGAAACTAAAGCTGAAACCGAAACTAAGCGTACACGTGTATCTCTAATGCATAGCACTCTACATGTAATCGTAGATTGTTTTTCAGGACGCTATTAAGCAAAATATCTCTGACTTTTTGTTTTGATTTTTATCAATACTGAACGAGTTTTATTCCATGAATCTGCTAGACTAGAGCAATGCATTCTCTCCGAATCTCAGTTAAAAGAAAGCGAAATGCATCTTGATTCCAATAGCACAATATTCTGAGGAGAACAGAAACAAACTCATTACCGATTTGACATGTGTAGAAAAGCTTAATCAACTGTTTTTTTTTTCCTTTTTTTCTGGTAGGTTTTGCATGAGCCGCCTTACTGCCTGTTTGTGTGTTAATGATAACACCTGCTCAAAATTGCTGTCTTTTCATTCTTCACTAAAAGCGAAATTAATTGTCCTTTTATTTCTCCCAGCTCGTTTTTCTTTCGCACGCCCGCTTTTTAGATCGTCCACACGTACTGACCAGGGGTTTGGAACAGCCCTGCAGCGCGGCATGAAATAGGGCGTTTAAGAAAACCACGACACCAACGGCAACGGGAACGTCACTAAACAAAAGGTTTAATGAGGAGAACAATGGCAGTGCACGTGCATTATAATTCCTGGTGCATTTCTTTGCCGTCCTCTGCAAAACAACAACGTGAAATGACCAAATTCTACCTTGTCTAGAGAAGGTGAACCACAACGGCTAATTTTTCAAATTTATATTTCAAATTTATCGCTGTGTTTTAGTTTTACTTTTGTGATAGTTTTGACAGTGATAAACATAGTAAATGACTTAAGAGTACCGCGAGATTCATAGGTAAAATATAAATTCATTTTTTTAATAGACGTTGTCCTCGGCGTCGCCGCCGTGGTTTCTTAAACTCCCTAACGAACAACCAGTGACGTCACAAGGCTGTTTTGGCCGCGCCAAATTTTTGGTTTAACTAGCCGATCTCGAACTACTAAAAAGGTAATTTTGGCTTATCGTTCGAGTTTGAAAGTAAGGTTATACCACATTATTAAGCAAAAGTCTATCTCAGATACGAAAAGTTCGATTCAGTAGCTCACTGATATAATCCTCAAGTCCACCAGATTCCGACGATTCTTAATTGACTTCGCTACACAACACAGCGTAAAATACTGACAAAACGTTTTTGAGGCTTACCTTTTTAATGATACCTTTAGGATAATAGTGCCGCAAAGCTCTACTGAGCTTTTCGTAGTTCATGCCTTTTATCTTTTTGTATGCACCCCATTTCTTTGCAACCTCGTCCTTGTTTTTCAGTTTAAACTCTCCGTGTTCCTCCCTGACCCAAGCTATCATTGAACGGCATTCGTCACCGTATGCCAGAAGTTCCAGTAAAAACTCCCACAAATGAATGATGTTCTTGTAGCGTGGTTCTCTTTCGTAATCCATCTCGGTGGTCGGACTTAAACTGTCTAGCTTCCTGGAAACGTGTTCTGAAGTTTCTTCCACTTGATCATCAACTACAAAGGTGAAGAACAACTATTAGCTCCGTCGCCCGACCCTTTCTTTCAACGGTGTGCATGATGACAAGTGTCAAGTTTGGTCAGATAGGACTTGTGGTGAGAATACAAAAACTTATCACGTTACTATGAGATACTCTTTTAAGATATAGCGACGAATTCTCCTGACGCAATATAAACGAAAACGAAAGAACCTCAAGAACAATTGGAAAGTCAGAAACTGTAAGTTATGCTAATCCTTTTGTTCTATCACGACAGCGGCCATTTTTAGGTAATGGCTTGCTCAGTTGCGCGTCGGAATCGAATCGAGAATGAAATATTTTTGTGAACACGCTATTTGTGGTTTTTGTCTCATATCTGATCAAGGACTTGGCATGTATATCCGAATCGAAAACGAAACTTCGCGTTGGCTGTATAGACTGAGTAACAAAATTCTGTATGAATTGCGCAGAGCTGGGCGAGCACCTTGACAAGTTCAAGAGTTCCACAATTTCACTAGTGCAAACTTGCCTAATAGCGGAGAAAAGTCCTGAAATCGTCTCTGGATCCGGCCGCTATTCACGCGATAAAGAACAAAAACTTAAAATTGCCGGGCCAAAACAAACCCGGAATATGCCCTTAAAAAGAGTAGAGTTAAGAAAATAGCCCCAGGGGCGTAGTCAGGATTTTTCATTGGGGGCTGGGGGGGGGGGGGTCACACTGTGTCCAAGTGAGGGTACTCACCAGATTATCATGTTGTTTTCGCCACCTGTTGTAGGTTGTTTGTTCAAAAAGGCTTACAAAAGGGGGGTCATGGGCACCCCAGAACCCCCCCCCCCTCCCTAGCTACGCCCCTGAATAGCCCTATTCTCCAACAGTGGGATCAGGAATCAAGGTCAAGTCAAAATTAAAAAAAAGAAAATAATTCATCCAAATTGAAGCTGGCAAGAAACTGATAGCTTTGATCTCTAAACTTTTAGTTTCAATTAGGATGTTTGAGCAGAAAACGCGAACATCGTGTCTAATTACACTCTTTTTTTATAAGAATATTGCTTTTCCGGCCCAGGCTGAATATTCCTATTTTTCTGCCGATTTTAGGCTGACAATATTCTTGTGAATATGATTAGATTATAGCGAATGACATTTCCGTTTTCGTATGTATTTGGTGTCTAGCTGGATAGTAATTCTGGAGCCAGCCTGCAGGCGTTATAACCTGATATGACGCACATGCCTTCTTGCAGAAATGCTCAGTAACGGCGAACTTACGGCTAGTGCTGTTTTTGTTTGTTTGTTGCTCTTTGGCTTGTTTTGCCGTTTAGAGAAAGGAATAATTTTATACGGTTTAATTAATAACATATAATTGTATTGAATTTAAAAATTTTCGACACAAAATTATATTCTTTTCAAAATCTCAGCCTCAAGTTTATTCTTAAAATAGTCTCAAAAAATCGCAAATTTCAGCCTCCATATTTTTATAAAACATGTTCTTTTTTTCTTTTAATTTAAAGTAACACGTCTTAAAAAATTACACGTATCACAAATTACAAATTACAATAACAAAGTGCTCTGGTATGGCTACTCCGATACTACAATGTACATTACTTATTTACACCAGGTGTTACTTACTTACATTAGGAAAACGAATAACATAAAGTAATTAATTAATTCTGACAACACACATTAGCATAAAACATGTTCTTATAAAAAAGAAAGAGTGTAACAGCTTCATTCGTGTTGCCCTCCTCAAGTGTTTCTAGAAGTATCACCATACATGACCTCATTGGAAATCTCACTCAACATGCAGGAAATCGAAAACGAAATTTGCTGGTAACTTGTTCCGGCGATCTGTTCTATACTACAACTGGACTTTGGAGTCACTGATTTTGAAAGGACGGCAGTTTTCTTATCTAATTCTCTTGCTGATTACGTCTGAGTCATGTTTGACACACCGAGAAAATGAAAGAAATAAAGGTGTTGAATACATCGACATACTTTCAGATTGTCATCAATGATTGTAAGCCTTAGATGATTGACGTTCAACTGTTAAATTCTGTTATAAATAATCACATTTTGATGGCGTTTAGAGCATTATATTCGCGCGGGGCGTCACTGAGTTTTTTACAAAACCTCTCTCTAGAATCCGTTTTGATCGAACGCAGTTTGGACATACGACAAGTTTCGATTTCATTTGGAAAGTACAAGTAATTTGAAATTAATATTCTGAATGCGTTTTTAGGTGTTCCTAGTCTGCTATGAACTTAATACTAACCGGAGACGCCCTAATAATTTGATAGCTGGATTTAGGAAGGCAGGCAGGCAAAACGTGACGGCTCAAAACGATGTAGGGAAACTCACGTAAAGGTAAAAGGTAAAGTCTGCATGCGAGCCAAGTGGCCCATCAGGCCGGAGCTTATTCCGGTTTCTGTAGCATGAAGCAACTAGGAGTATTTCTACTCCCCCCTGGATTGGATGCTAGTCCATCGCAGGGTTACCCCCAGCATTAAGTTCGCCGGTACCCATTTATACACCTGGATAGAGAGAGGCACTGTGAGAGTAAAGTGTCTTGCCCAAGAACACAACACAATGTCCCCGGCCAGGGCTCGAACCCGGACCGCTCGATCCGGAGAAGAGCGCACTAACCATGAGGCCACCGCGCCTCCCAAGGGACGAAATAACAGCTGGCGAAAGACCAGAGGAATATCGAAAAGATATCAGCATGTGCTAACCCTAACATGTGGTCCACTTTTCACGTACATTCTTTAGTTGAGTTTTGAAGTGGCAGAAAAGTCCATACCAGGGTATTCACCCGGATTTCACCAACCGAGTTGTTGTTGACATCTTAGGTGACCTCCTCTTGCCACTAAACGACATTTCTATCTATCCAAGAACTGAACAAGCATTCCTTAACTTCCCCTCATAACGAAAGTCACGTCCAAGGTGTAATTTCACTAAAATGCTTACAAGTCGAATTACTGATTTAGAAGCAATTATACTCAATTATGGGTCTTCCGAACCATTATTCCTTTGTTGCCTTAGCGGAAGTGAATTACCCAACGAATTAAAATAGTTTAATTTTAAAACTACATATGACCTTCAAGATTTTGGAGAGTTGAATACTTATAGACCTGATTACAAATATATGCCTGGTAGCTCTGACAATTGCACAATGAAAAGCAGCATGTTAAATGAAATCAGTATAGATGTGAGGGTTGTCGACGTTTATTTCATACTACCCACTGAGATGAGGATAGAAACAGTGTTCATAAGAAGATTATACGCTAGACTGTTTAGATCGGTTCACCTGCAGAAGACCAAGTTAACTGAGGCCGGCAATACTAGCTGCCAAATTTTAAAGCGCACAGAATGTTACAAAGTCGGACTAAACCGTGCATGATCGATATCGGTGGACTGTGCCGAACAAGGGGAGTGTCGACCGACCAGAAGATATTAAAATGCACGTTGGTTATTCACTTGTCCGGCGAAGTTATGCTGTGTCGGTTGAAATCTGTTCATAGTTAGTTCAAGAACGCAAATTAAAAATATGTATATATTTAGTTTGACTTTCCTGATAGTATTCTTTACTTGTGCAAACAAATACTGTATCGCCTCCGCAAAGTGCTATTTATATACAAAGTAAAAAGTGAAATATCTTACCTTGGTCCTCACCCGACATTGATAACTTTTCCCCTCAGATGACAAAAATTATTCCCCCAGGCTCGCGGATACAAAATAACTTAGTTGTCTCAGTTGTTCGATCTTTTTGCTTTCTGTGGAAGTAGCTGGATGGACTTATCAATCCTCCGTATAATGGTACTTCTTCCAGTGGATGTTAAAACAAGAGGAACAGGAAGTGTCTAGCGCGTTGATCAGCCAACCAGGGTGGCCTGACAAACTATACATTTTCCTGCAGGATGTGTCGGCTGCAAGCGTTTTTATAGGTTGCGGTTCAATTTAAAACTGAAAAGTTTGTTTTCCGCATATCAAGCTAAGAAATTCTTTTGAGATGGTGTTTTCGTTGGAATCAATGTAAATCATTTGCAGAATTTCAGAAACAGCTATGGCTTCAAATTTTAATTCATCATTTATATTAATTGTTATTGAAAATAATTAACCTTAGCACCTCAAATTTACAGTCAAACAATTAAAGTCCGACTATTTTAATATTCTTAACTTGATCTGATTCTTGAATCAGCACTTCAGTTTATTTCTTTGAAGAACCAGTGTTTTAAGACAGATACATAGGGTATATTTTGATATAGTTATGCATTACCACATCAAAAACAAATTCCTGTCTGAATGATGCAATTGCTTCTTACTGCAGATTTGGTTCCTTTTTCAAATAAACAACACTTCTGAAAAGCGCTTGCTCCGGATAACGTCCCCACGCTTAATACATTTGATATACTTAGATAACATTGACAAGTGTCTAAAGATGTGTGTTCCCGTTGGCGTCTGAAACCTCTTACGACTTCCCCATAAATGGACGGGATTAAAACTTCCTACCCCGGATGTACATTGTGAGTTTATTTAAACTGTAGCTGCCATGTTTTGACATACGCGATCAATAAACTTCCTCGCATACCTTACATGTTTTATCCCTGTTTTATGACTTTTATTTCTTTCTTTGCTCGCCAGCTCAGAAACCGTTTCGTTTTGAGCTGCCAATGGTTTAGTTCGAGAACAAGCTCTTTACGACCGTTTCTCTCCCGCTTCCCTTCCTTGGGGCAGCGTCTTTACTGACTATCAGTACGCTGCCATATTTAATTGTTTAGGATTGCCAACATATTTCAGAAAGCAGCCCATATCTTTGATCTAGCGTGACTTAATAGATGGCCGGATGACGCCGGTCGCGAGCCTTGATCTCTAAATAAAGGCTCCGTTGCAGGTTATCACAACACTCTGCAACAGTACGAGTTAGTAATATCACTACCGACTTCGCTCAATGTTTAGAATAATCTTGAAAACTTGATTTCTTTTTAAAAACATGAAAACAGTTCAGTTACCAACTCAACATGTCCGGAAGACGTTTTGACCGCCTACGCCTTCCGGCTTCCGGTGTTTATCGTGTTCCGCATAGTCACGCAAGTCACGCAGTCTTCAAAACAGTAACTGAAACAAAACAAAACTTCGACATTTTCTCTGTGCTATTTTTAAACCATTCCCATGATGTGTTTTACCATCGAAACGAATTCTTTCAGGTTTTGTGTTCAGGTTATTTAGATAGCATTACATCACTAAAAGCCGACGCAAGCTTCACTCGCTAACATTATCAATCATATCAACACGATAACAGCTCTCACGCAGTTTCACACGTGACTGCGTGTGCAAGCTAGTATGTTTATTTACTTTTTATGGCCTGTAAATGCACCAATCTACATAACAGAGCTTCTCTGTACACTCTTTTAAGCTTTCTTTCCTTAATTCTTTGGTAACAAGGTTTGTTTTAGGCAAAAATGGTAGTAAATCAGCAATAAAGGAATGTCAAATTGGCCAATTGCGAACACTATCTACGTCAGAGCGTGACCTCTAGCGAGCTCGCGTTCACGTACGTACAGAGTTACGTCAATAACAAAACACCTGTCAAGCGCCGAAAATAGAACTTCCTGTCTGGGAATTTCGATTATAAATAAGCGCGGCTTGAATCTATATCAAACAGCGGTGGAAAGTCAGATTTGTAATTTAGACCTCTTCAAGAAAAAAAGTTTGCAGTCGTCCGAGCTCAAACATGGTTGTTTCAACGATGGAGCAAGAGATGCATGGTAAGTCAGCAATTGCAGACAGTGCTTTTTTCTTCGTGGAGAGTAATAAACCCTTTAATTTATACTAATTCCCTATTGCTAGGCCCATTTCAACCACGAGATTCATCACTGAGATGGGCTCAGAATCACCTTTCGGTTTCGATAATTCCTATCTGAAATCAAATGCGAATTGTAAACAATGAAACGCCATTTTCTATGCCTCGACGGTCCTCGACTGCTCCAGAAGTACCAAGTACGGCCAAGCACTGATCATGAGAGCATGTATACAAGGCCTCCAGTTTTATTATAGACTTTTTTTAGAGCAATTATTTACTGAGGTAAAGCCGAATTCAATTCAGTTTAATCACGTACTCTTTCTCTTCTCATTTGAAATAGCGGAGTACACCACGAGATTGATTAAGGAGGACTTCAGCCAGCCACCCGTCACTGAAGGCCTGACTGCAGTTGGCAAAGAACCACGTTACAAAAACATAGTTCACTTGTGGGAATTTCTGTTGGAGCTTCTGGCCCAAGAAAGCTGCAAAACAATCATCGCTTGGAGTCGGAAGGAATACAGAGAATTTAAATTGAAAAACCCTGAACAAGTAGCCCTGAGATGGGGAAGATTGAAAGGGAAAAAAGGAATGAACTACGATAAACTGAGCCGAGCGTTAAGATATTACTACCAGCAAGGAATAATCAAAAAGGTGAGTTGATAGATGTGTATTCTTTTTTCCCCTGTTTTAGCATACTTTCCGTTGCTGACAAGTTCGAACACGCATTTTACTGTCTAAAGTTCGCAGGAAACTCAACGATCACAGCTGTAGTTGGATTTTCTAGGACAGTTATGGACAAATAACATCAAAACTGATGTTAATCAGTGTAGGCGTGTGGTGGCAAGGATGGATTAGTCTTCGAGTTTGGCTCGGATCTAAAATTGCGTAAAATTTCCTTTCAACATGAAATTTCTTGTTAAAAATGTTTTCTCCAATTTCGGTAGAATTCGCTGAGATTACAAAGGTTTTACTTATTTAATAATTTAGTAAATATTTCTTGCATCAAGGCTATGCAAAAGAGTGCACAATCCGGATTCCTTTGGGGCACACCTAGTACTAAATTTAAAGCTGAAACAATAGTGACAATTAGTGACAGTTATTTACAATTAACTTATGTCGGCTCAAAAATACCATCAGCTTTTAGTAGCAAATACCTTTGTCGAGTATCGCTATACAAAAACCTCACCCACTTCGCAAGAGCTGCCAAGCTTTATAAGCACCACTTCATACAAGGAGAGGCTGTGAACACTAACTCGGTAGCAATCTTTTTCTAGATTAAAGATATATTATAAATTTAAATTAAAACGAAGATATGTCTACAATTTTCGATGAGATCTTTGGCCAGGTTATTTCAGGTTGTTTTCAGTTTTGTTATCAAGCGGAGGAGGTGTGTTTTCATATCAGCTATCAAGATGAGCCCTGCTATCACAGTTTTTCCTTTTCCGAAAACGCATCCTCATATCTGTACCACACAAAACTTTTGACAGTTACCAGTCGTGATTTTGTCGGTGGTTGCACATTTTTCTTTCACTAGTTGGTTAACTGTTAAATCTAGAAAGCTTCTTTTGATCAGTTGTTTTAAATCTTTTGCAGGTTCCAGGGCAAAGATTGGTGTACAAGTTTCACAAACTTCCCTACAAATACGAACCAGGCGTTACAAGGTCGCTGAGTTACACAAAGCAAAATACCTGTGTCATCACCGAACAAGATCGAAAACAAGATCAAAAACCAGTTACGACTCCACCTCTACATACAACAACTGGCTTTTCACCTCTCCCTTCGAAGGTTATTCCCACCAGTGCCCCTGTAAGAAAAGATTGGTGCTGGCCAGTAGTGCCTATGCCTACACGTCCTTTCTTATGGTATCCAGGTTCTTCGTCTTTCAAGCCACCAATCTACAGCACCGGGAGTAGAATCATGTTTCCATTTGTCGATATGTTTATGTCACTCCCTCTTGGTTTAAAACCATTTGAGCCTGTATCTCCTGTTTACGAAGCATTTCCACTTCCCAATACGTCAGTCCCTGTTTCCGTAATTCAGCGAACGGTATGAAAACTCCAACTGAAGAAATTTTTTTGTATATTTTTAGCTGATAAAACAGATTGATGGTACAAAATCTGAAACGCATTTTCCTAGAGGAACCAGCAAACTGTATAAAACCCTATCTGTATCAGATATGTCTTTACTTTTTTTTGCTGAAAAAAACATGTAATGCAAAACCTGAAACAAGATCAAGAGGAACACTCGTTTGCTCGCAAAGAAATGTTATGTAAATAGCTTCATAATCTTTTACAATGTAAATAAAAGTAAGTTTTTGTTACAAATGTTTAGTCAAGTAATGTCTTTTGGTTCCTAAATCTCCCCCTGTTTTCCCCTCTCATGTGGACGACTATATATCTGCAGATTTTCTCCCTACAATACCATGTTATTTCAAGCTAGGAAGGCAGTACTTGTCAAGGTGTACCATCAAATTCTTTCTCATTGAACTCTAGAATTAACAGATATACGGCAAAAACCCGCGTATAAGAACCTAAAATTAAAGAACTTGTTAGGGTTACGCTAAAAATTTCCCAGTTAAGCACTCTTACTTAAGAACCATTCTAGGGCTAAAATCTCCATACAGGTTCTTATTTTCAAAACATAGAGTTTTTTCAAATATAATAAAGAACATCACATGAGATACAAAGAAGCTAACAAGACTCAGTAGCCAGGACACTGGCAGTGTTATAAGACCACAATGCTGTACTTTGAATGATTCAATATAAAGCCTGCAAGCTTAAAAGGTTGGGTACTGGACTATTTTCTCAATTCACTGATACTCTACAAGAAATTAGTATCAAACAACATCACGTAGTGATGAGGTACAAAACGGTAATATACACAAATTATTAGGAATAAAATGAATAAAAGTGAGTGCAAATTCATTTACCGTCAAATGAAAATTCGGTGTAACTCGGTTTCAACGATAAGAATGACATAATTATGTGACGGCAGATCGATATCCCATGCGTGATCCCCGTCAAGGTCCCATCTGTTGTCTCAATAAATAGATTCTTTTCTCATATCAAAAAAGAAAACGCTTAGTTATTGTTAATTTAAACAAACCCTAAGCTCATTATCTAATCAAATGGAAGGATGCCATTCAAGTTCAGGAAAATTAACCCTCAGGCGTTCTTTAGAATTTGAATTGCTGAAAAGCAAGCGACGGAAGTCGGGGACAGTATACAGTGGAACCTTTACTAACGGACACCTCTCCACATCGGCCAATTTCGTTATTGGAAAAAGTCACAAAACTTGATCCACACCGCGCGACGTTTGTTCTGTTTGGTTTCGGTTTTCAAATATCGATATATTTTGATAGTGTAAGGTGTACGTGCTATACTGTAAACCATTCTTTGTGGATAAAAATGTTGAACCCCACAAAACGAAACCGGTCTCAGTCTCAGTCTAAGTCTCCAAGGTGGCCCTTGCGCTGAGGTTCGACTGTTTAACATGCTAAGCAAACTGAATCCACTATTAATGAGTTTTGATGAACCCGGAGCTGATCTCTGCAAGTGTACGCGTATTGTTTCACAAATCCCAAAACCTCATTTAAGATTTAAGAATAAACGTGAGAGAGAACCATCCAAGACTGCTCTCAAAAAAGTCCACAAAAGTGATATTAAGAGTGTTGTTTATTACCTTTGCATCGATAATACCATGCATATATAGAAATGAGAATACTGGAATAAAGGTGTTTTCGTTAATATTATGCTTCCTTAATAACAGCTAACAAGCTATTTCAGTAATGTAAGTCTTTTGAATGATCTGAACGCCATCCAATATTTAAGTGAATTTTAGACCAATCGGGAACCTGTGATCGTTACAGACGGATAATCCTTACAATTGATTACTAATTCGAACATGAACGTATACGGATTAGAATCCCTTCACAGTAGTTTGTATTTTGTCCTGTTTTGGTATCAATCTATTGACAATAATTTTATCCTTCAGTTTCTTATCCCTTGCCTCAGCCCAGCCACGCCTAACCACGCTTTAACAAACAGTCGTTTTAATAATTAGCTAAGAATTAGCTAAGAATTAGTATAACTGTGAGAGATTAGCAACACTTCAAAATATCCAATACATATACATGTTTATAACCTTACGTTTTGGTTTCCCCTTCTATCTCTCATTTCAATAAGAGCCGAGCGTTGTCAACATCGGGTCTGTTTTGCATGGCACAGACTAATAAACATAGATTTAAACAAACATTGGCTCGGTGATATGATGTATTTGTTTGAAAATGCTAAGCATGCCGAAACTTTGCCCGCCAAATTTAACTCGCTCTTCCCATTCCCGGCCTATCCGGTAAAGCCCATAATAGCTTGTCACGTTCGATCACGTGGAATGTGCCGGTCTTGTAAACATCCGGTGTAAAGATCGTACACTTCACCCAGTCTATTACCTCCGTTGTGTGTGCAGGAAAAACGCAACCAAAAAGATTAAATCATAAATCGGAATACATCTCACAATTTATGGAAGAGTTACCTAGAAAAATATATTTGCTATCAATATGTTCTATGGTCCAAATAGTTTCTAGAAACTTTTTCAAAGACTACAAATCAACTTCCTCTTCCGATGGGAACTTCAACAAGAGTAACCGCAAAGTAACCGCGGAATAATGATTGTTATGCGTTTGGTCCCACGCATTTCCACTCGAGAACTCACTGACACCTGCACTCTGGAGAGGTGAACATTGAACTATTTAAAGTACAACTTAAAATATCACTTTGAACAAAGCTGAAGTACTCATTAGCCTTCATTACTGACACGGTCACACACGAGGTACGTTAATTTCATCCATCTACAGGCTTAACCCTTAAATCTACAGCGGATATAATTGATTTATGCCTTGTCTTTGGGAGTGAACCACATTTTAACGCACTTCTGTCAGACAAAGACCTGCAATGCAGCGGAACGCGTGGCCCTAAAAATAGTCTATATACGTCTATACTGTCTACATATACATGTGTTGTAGTCTTTCTATGACGCAGGTTGTGAGACACAAAACAATGACACAATGTATACGCGAAAACATGTTTTGTCAAGAGGCACGCACATCTACGAAGTACGTAAATCGGTGTGGGAGGAATTTTGGGCACGGTTCAACAGCAAAAAGCAAACGTTTACCAAATAATTCACTCAAGATTATAAATAAATTAGTGATTTTGAAATGGTCTTTATCCTGCAGAGTAAATGGCTTGATCAATAGGCCATCTCCTTAATAATTGACACAACTTCGATGTAGCATAAGGTCTATTTATCAAGTAAAATTGAAAGAATCGTGTGACAGAGTCGCCTTTCTCTTTACTTATATACTAGGAAGATCGAAGCGCATATAATCGCAGGGAAGGAGAGAAAAGATAAAATCCCTGGTGTGGGACCGTTATCTAAAACTAGGGTAAGCTATTTTCGGAAATTTCCATTTTTTTAGACGAAAGCGCCAATAAATTATTTTCTTACAAAGAAAGTAGTTAATATATTTACCCACCAGTCATTGCGGCAGGGTCCTATAAGTAATTTTAGGTTCATATTGAAACCTCATTTTCTGCACGTACTCATAGCGTGAGTTGCTGCGTATTGTGTTACATCTGTTAGTTACACTTCCCGTGTTTCCAATCTGTTTATAAACAAGGAAGTCCTAGAACCGGAGTTTCATTTGTTGTTGTCGGAGTCCAGAAATTATTTTCAATCTTTGCAGAGTTTGTCGTCCGCTTGCTTCGACGAAAGAAAATAATTCAGCATGGTTGTATCCAGAAAGCTAGGAAGAAATGGTAACTATCCTAAATGCTCTTTTTCGTCTGAGTTATAGCCTCAAATGTTTGTTTTATGCTGGCTTACGAAATTCATTTGAAACACACCGTAGTCGTAGTCAGACACATGAAGCACTGAAGAAACTCAATCAATATCACGCGGAAAAATTATGTAATTATGGGTCACTGCTACCAAGTGCAGGGACTGAACCGGATGCAATTAATTCTAATCGAGCAAAGTTAAAATACACAGCTGACCTTTCGTTACCAGAAGCCTCAATTTAAATCTACCAAGTTTATCCTTGTTTTGTTCAGTAGAGGGGTTAATGTGTATCGCATCGGAATGGTCTTCTTTGAAACATATCACGCCAGACTGGGCATTCCTCATTATTTTAGTGTAATACCATAAGCTTGGATTTTTCCCGTTTCAAAATCAAATGCTTGCTGGAGAAAGGGTCAGCTCATTTCTTTCCTAAGGAGCAGACCGAGCCTCCATATAACATTTATCAATTTATTGTACCTACCAGGAAGCTCGTGCATCCCAAAAAAAGCGTCAGAACGTCTCGAAGTTCTTAGCAAAATCTGGCGTGTGTTCAATGTTTTAGTTACATAATCTGCCTTATTATACAGCGAACTTTATGAGTATTTATTGGAATACCGTTTTTATCCACAACTCACACGATTTATTGAGATATCGGACTTCGATACGACTAAACATTTTCCCTTGCACAACGTGGAGCACACGTGGCCGTTCATTTGCTGTCTGAATAACACATTGAATCTCGCTATTTTTGTTAACAGAGAGAAATTCTACTGATAGACAACTTCGCCATAAGAATATGACGCATTTATGGCAGTTTTTGCTGCAGCTTTTGGAGAACGACAGCTTTAGTTCAATCATAAGCTGGAGCAGAAAAGACCGCAGAGAGTTTAAACTGAACAACCCTGAAAAAGTGGCTCAAAGATGGAGAATATTCAAACGAAACAAAGCAATGACTTACAAGAAACTGAGTCGTACCTTGCGATATTATTATCAACAGGGAAATATTAAAAAGGTGAGTCAATATATCTCCTTGTATTTGAATGGAAGATAAGTTAAGCAGCCCTGATTTCCAGCATTTTCAAGTTGAACTGCTCAAGCCTCAATACGTTAATTTGCATTTCAACACTTCATGCTAAGTTGTCATGTTTGTATATCTTAATTTATCAGAAAAAACTTGTTGATTCTTCTTAATTACAGCGGCAAACGGTATTAACAGGTATTTTCTAAGTATCAACAGTCAGCTCGGTCAAAAGGTGCTTAGTAAATTACTTAAGCAACTAGAACGTTTTGATATCACTTACTTAATTACTTTGCAACAACTCGAAACATTCTAAATTTCTTTGCAACGACTAGAAGCTTTGTCGGTGACACTTCCTAAGTCATTGCCAGCGAAAAACTTAAACAGTGGCTCTTTCTAAATTACTCACTATGAAGCAACAACTGCAAAGCCTTGTGTCACTTTCTAGTAAAACACGCAGCAACAACTCGAAAGCTTATTAGCTCTGTCGTCATAAAATGATCAAGCCTTTATCTGCAGGCTCAAATAAGAATCGACAGCAGATTACGGAATTGATTTAAGCCTTGTCTTTGGGAGTCAAACACGGTTTTTACAGACTTCTGACAGACAAAGGCCTGCAATACAGCAGAATGTGTAGGTCTAAAAATAGTCTATATACGTCTATACTATCTATAGATACCTGTCGTTAGACCGTCTATGACGTAGCTTGTGAAACAAAACAATGGCAAAATGTATGCGAAAACATGTTTTGTCAACTTTGAAAATTAGTAACTGAAGCAAAAACTCGAAAACTTTGCGACACTTAGCTTTCTAAATTACAAATTGTTGCTGAAGCAACCCTTAGTACAAGAAAAGTTAACTTTTTTCCTTTTAGTTTTATTCCACATATTTACAACATATGTTACAAATCTGGTAATTGTTTGCATATGCATCAGTCACATCTTCACCAGAATGGTATCACCCTTACCAGATTATCTAAAGGGATAACTCTTCATCTAAACTTGTAATCTGGCACTTTGTAAATTAGAAACTGAAGCAATAGCTCGAAAGCTCCGTTTGTGGCACTTTCCAAATAACTTAATTGTTGCCAAAGTAACCCCACAGCATAAGAAAAATTACCTGCTAAATAAGGGCCTACATAAAATTGGGAGCAATACAAAGAAATAATAACGTAAAAGTTGGGAATTATGAAACGCATCCTGAAAATCCAACTTAAACTGAAATGTTAGATTTACGATGAGAAGTGCAAAAGTGCAAAACAAAAATAGTAAGGCTGGCTGGCTAGCTTGCTGGCTGCATGACTGACTGACTTACTGACTGACTGACTGACTGACTGACTGACTGACTGACTGACTGACTGACTGACTTACTGACTTACTGACTTACAATTAACTCTATTTCTGTCTGGGCTATGTCTGTCTGACACTTGTATGTTTCATGTTTTGTTCCAGGTTCCAGGCCAAAGGTTTGTGTACAGGTTGAACAAACGTCCCTTAACCTGCGAACAAGGTATCAGAAACTTTCCTCAAGTGAAGTCAGCTCCTAAAGGAAACACCAACACCGCTCCCCTTAGGGAATGTTGGTCCCGACCAACCGTATCCATCTCCTGCTGTCCTCGTTGCTTGTGCCCACGCTTTCTACCACCCACAACACCTGGGAGTGGTGAAGGAAGGCAGATACTACTTCAGATTGTCGATCCGTCGCTACATGAACTAGTTTTGCCCATTATTAAAACACCCCCGACATCGATACCTGTTTCTGTTATTCAGAAGACTACCATTCCTAGAGTAGACTACTAGAAGGTGTGTCTTTTCAAGAAACAGCTTTACATCCTTAAGTAGCAACTATACGTTTCTTATATTTTACGATCACGAACTATGTAAACTTCGGTTTGGAAAATGCCACTTATTTCTGATTGAGTTGATTGTTCCATTGCTCAATAATCCCACATAAGCTCACTGGGGTCATTTACTTTTTATGAATACCAGATCCTTGATTGAGTTGGTAAGTGGCACTTGAATATTAATTCAGTTTTTGCACCTCGCGACACTTATAGAAAAGTGCTTGAAGTCACGGATATCAAAGGAATGCCCAAATAACCACTGTTTGATTGTTTTGTATGAAATCAGATAGTTCTTTATGAAAGATCATGAAATTCGTTTCAAGTCTTAATATTTTAATGTGAATCATGTACTGTAATTCTTTTGATTCTTCTAATGTTTTAATCAGAAGGCATCTCTTTGTGCTAGTCATAAAACAGTACTCTGAAGAATAACGATCTTGTTTTTGTTAATGACGATGATGATTTTGAAATACATCATTTAATCACACTATAGCTTAAAACAAATCTTTATTTGTGAACATTTTGTGGGATGGGAAACAGGCCATTTCCGAGTTACCTTTTGCCTATGTGTCAAAATGAGCTACAAGACTATTCATATGAAAATGTGTTCCACGTTTACTTCCATGCAAATAAAACTCGTTTTCATATGAAATGGTTTGAACGAGGACTCGTTTTGAAACACAGGCAAGACAAGGAAATTCAAAACTGACGGCCTTTTCGTTTGCGTTGAACTAGATCTGGACCGATTCGAGTATCAAGAGGTTCAAACGGCTGGCTCATGGAGTCCTTAATTGGTTTATGCCCTAATGACCTAATTTTGGTCAATACAGTGCTAAAATGTACTGAGTACCTTCGCTTGTACACGAGATGCATCTTGAACATCAAGATGTCTGAGGCTTTTGGAGACAGAGCAAATGGTAATTAGTTTTAGCAAACTGTTCAAGAGCACACATCTTTTACTACAAGTTGTTTGATGATAAATGGACTTGTAAGGCATTTCGCTGCTCCTTGCAGAGCTCTAGGTAGCTACAAACACATTTCTCATATTCGACCATATAAAGTAAAATAGTAGAGAGGGGAAAGTAGACAGTAGGCAGTAGACAGTAGACAGTAGAGAGTGGAGAGTGGAGAGTGGAGAGTGGAGAGTAGACAGTAAAGAGCAGAGATTTGATATTTGGGATTGGAGATTTGAGATTTGAGATTTGAGATTGGAGATTTTAGGATTTGAGATTTGAGAGTAGACAGTGGTCGACAGTAGACAATAGAAATAGAGAGTAGAGATTAGCTCTTCCACATTTGAGAGTTGAGAGCAGAGAGTAGAGAGAAGAGAGTAGAGAGTATAGAGAAGAGTAGAGAGTATCGAGAGGAGAGCAGAGAGCAGAGAGTAGAGAGAAGAGAGTAGAGAGTGTAGAGAAGAGAGCAGAGAGCAGAGAGTAGAGAGAAGAGAGTAGAGAGTATAGAGAAGAGTAGAGAGTATAGAGAGGAGAGCAGAGAGCAGAGAGTAGAGAGAAGAGAGTAGAGAGTGTAGAGAAGAGTAGAGAGTATAGAGAGGAGAGCAGAGAGCAGAGAGTAGAGAGAAGAGAGTAGAGAGTATAGAGAAGAGAGAGAGGAAAGTTGAGGGTAGAGAGTAGAGAGTAGAGAGTAGAGAATAGAGAGTTTGGACAATCTAATTTCTAATTTACAACAAGTGGTCCTAAACTTTGTAGTATTTACTAAGAACAAGCTTTTCTTTCTTCGAACTGATCGAGGGAAATCAAAAGAGGCAATTGCAAATGCAAGCAGCTTTGCATCGGTGACATCACGCGTTCATGCCATCATCAAATTCTCCCAGCCAAATCTCCGAAAAACTTACGAAAACCTGTAATGAGAATCTCTCTGTTGAAATCAGTTGATGAGTCTCAAGTCTCAGTCTCTTGATCAATCTCCTAACTACTAATATAAGAAACGTACAAAGACTGTATGTTGGCACGAGAGCTTTTAAGCGTCTATGCTAATACGGCATCCAATTGTCCCTAGCCCGAGGTGGGGAACTTCCATAAAAAAAGGCCAGGGGTGTTCGTCGAAAATTTTGAAAACAACATCTAAGAGGTACCATGCAAGATCCTGTTTTGTGGACGTGGCTTGAAATTTTCCTAACAACACACAATCTGATGTCTGAAAAGAGTTTTTCAGCATTAATATTAAAAAAATAATATTGAAATAAATAGAAGAGATGACTAGAAAAACTATTATGTACAATAATAGGCCATTTCCGAGTTGTCTTTTGCCTCTGTGTCAAAACGAGTCTACGTGTAAAACCATTCATATGAAAATGAGCTCCTGCCTACAGGTTCATTTTCATGAGAATCAAACCTACTTTCATAAGAAAGGTTTTGCACGAAGACTCGTTTTGAAACAGAGGCTCAAGGTAACTCGGAAACGGACTCAATTTTGAGGCTGAACAATCTGAGAGATACCAAACCAGCTTTTTTTAACATCTAAAAGGTACGACCTTTTATATGGACGTCCCCCTTGGGGTTCCTTGAAGTACTATAGGAAATTATCATATCTATCTATCTATACCAATAAGCAGTATTTATACTTTGACTTTCAGGCTGAAAGGGTTAATACATCAATTATTCTTTTTCTTTCGTTCTTATTATTAAGAGGTTATTGTTAACAAGTTTCGTCGCATCGTTGAATTCGAAATGTTCGACCTCTGTAGTCGTGAGCCAGACAGCTGAGCATTGGTCTTAGTTGAAAGACGGCTTTACTGATAAATGAGATCGGCAAAATTTGCTGATAGCTGAGAAATAGGCTGAACCGTTTACAGACAGACGAGAAATCAAGGAAAATTTAACCTCTTGATCTTGGGAATCGGTTTAAAATCATTAAATATGATATTAGTTCCTTTTAATTAATTTTTCGTTCTTTTACTGTTACTTTTTGCCAAGCGTTTTATACCTGGGCCTGCAGCCTGGAGATGCCAGAGAGCAACCTTATCACACGTTTTTACACTAACAAATTGATTAATTGATTGATTGATTGGTTAAATTGGGAAAAAGTACAAAAAGAATTGAAAAATTAATTAATAGCGTTTAATTCAACCTTCGCCTTTTCACCCCGCTTCATTCCTTGCCACTGCTCCCTAACTAAGGTCTCTAAAAGACCGAGCTCCTGAATAGGCTATCCCAGTCCTGCTTCGTTAATCACTCCTTTTAACAGACCGTATTGAACGGCTAGAAGCATGCAACGAACTCTCGTAGTCCGACATCCGTGACCTTCCCAATACCGGAAGATCTAATATAAGGAAGTGCGGGAAATGTAGAAACGACACCGACTAGAATCTTCGGAGAGGAATTCGATGAGTTACTTTCGCCATAAGCATTACACTATCACAAAAGAATCTGCAAATCTGCATCTTTTATGTATCCTTCCGCAAGACTGCTACTTTCTAATTCCTGTTTCACGCCTTTATCTCAGTTTTATCATGAGCCTCAGCGCAGATGATTATCTATCCAGCTGTCGAACTTTTTAATTTGCCGTCAGTTTCACTTTTAAAAGAGCTCAGTCGCAGAATTTTCACTTTCAATTAAAGGAAACCTGAAAATTTTATTACGATAGAAAGACGCCCAAGAGATAATAATAATAAACCATAACGGACAAAGGATGATTAACGATTACAAAACACGAACTTGAAAAAGTTAGGAAAAACTTTTCAAGATGCTCAAACCACGACGCAATTCCTTTAAAGTGCACCTAATCCCCTTTTTTCTGCTGAAACAAATCTTCTTGAGTCAACTGTACCGCATTAAATTTCTTCTTTAGTTTTGCCATCTTTGGTAAAGACGACAGCCATTCTTGAATTACAATATAAATACTCCGTTTACAAAAGACAAAAATATTTTTTCAGGACGTTTTCAAGTGGTGAGCGGGGACCGCCAGGTCACAGTTTGTCTCGCCAAGCGAAAGCGAAAGCGAAAGACAGGCGTTCTATTAACAAACTCAATTCCTTTTTATTATAGGCGTATAAATTCTAAATCCGCTTTAACTTCGAGTTCTTTACAAACAAAACTAACTTCACAACCACTGCCTCTAGAACTACAACCCAGATTCACCCGAAAGTTGCTAAAACCCTATCAAGAGGTACTCATCTATTCCAACTGACAACATTTGCCCAAAACTGTTTCTACAAACAACACCGAAAAACTGATAGACCTCTTAAATATAGGATTACGAAGGATACGCCAGTTATGGCTGCTGTAGTTTCACTTCCCGAGACAAATGTGACTCAAGGTAATCTATTTAACAGTATACTTTAAGTTATTTAAGATAGTTACACATATTATAAATTGCGTCCTGGACACATCATTGGCGACCCGGCGCGTTATCATCTCGGCATTTCACGCTAGGCACGTGAACCTTCTGTTAAGGTTACAGTATACCTTCAGATCGGCAATTTTCTTCAAATTTGGATTTTTGGTTCAAAGTAATGGTCGAAGAGTAATCTCTAATTTCTGAAAACAAAATTGAAAAAAACTCAATATTGG